GAAGCAGAGGCAGGCCACCCTGGGATAGTGGGGAAAAGGTGGTCCCAAAGGGGAGCACATTTCCAAGGCGAGAGAGGTCACCCAGAGCATGAGGGAGATGCTTGCTGTGGATGGCCATCCCTTCTCCTTTGTTGAGCAGCCAGGGTCCAGGTGGCTCATGATGCTTGTGGCCCCATCACACTGTTTGCCTGCACACACCACCTTCAGCAAGATGGTGATGCCTTCCCTGTCTGAGGCTTGCAGGGAGTACTTGAGGGAGGAGCTACACAAGGCAGGTCCGCAGGCAGCCTTACACTTCACCTCCAACCTCTGGAGCAGCCAGGGTGGAGATCATGCCTACCTCTCCCTCACAGGGCACTGGTGCAACCAGTCAAGCCAGTGGTGGGCTCTCCTTCAAGATGAGGTGAACAATGAGTCCCACACAGCAACCGAGATCAAGGGGGCCATGAGCCACTTGGTTCATGCAGGGGTAGCTCATTGGGCATGGTGAGCTCACCCGCGGGTTCATGGTCACCGACAATGGGGCCAATATGGTCAAGGTACTCCATGATGCCAACTTTATTAGCATCTGCTGTGTGGCACACAAGTTCCACCTCGTTGTCAGGGATGCCATGGAGGGGGACAGGACTGCTGGTGATGGTGCCAGCACCACCAGCAAGCTCATTTCCAAATGCAGGAAGGTAGCAGGCTACTTCCACCAGAGCATCAAGGGGGGCAAGATGCTGCGGGCAGAGCTGAGCATCCCGCAGCACAAAATCCTGCAGGGTGTAGAGACTTAGCAGAACTCCACATACCTGATGCTCAAGAGGCTGGTTAAGCAACAGAAGGCTGTCCATGAGATGGCCTTGTTTGGGGAAATTCGGATCGGTTTGGTCAAAAGCATAATTTGAAAGAACTAAAATCCTTCATGTGCTAATGACTGGCTTACTTGAAGCTATGGTCTACTGTCCTGCCATGTGGAGGAGAGTGTCTTCAGAAGATAGCTCTTGGAACCCAGAGAGCAGACAGCAGAATGATAATCTACTACACAGAGGTGAACAAAATATTCATAAAAAAGAAAGGCCTGACCTACATCTCCACAGTAAGTCTCTGTGCTAACAGACACGGAACATTTGACTTTGATCCCTGCTTGAAAACAGCATAGACTGCCCATTGAAACAATTATGATGAAAAACTATTATTAAAAATAATCAACATGCGGTTCAAACATATCTACATGAAGTTTCCTATTTCAGCTTTGCCTCTGCTCCCATTCTTTTCTACAGACTCAGCCACAGTAGTTTTGGACCATCGCTAACTGTGCCTTGGGAAAAAAGGGTCATTACATGAATTTATGAAAACATCAACATTGCGGAGGGGAACTTCCAAAGCATCTTTGTGACTGAGGGCCCAATTCCAATCGTCAAGAAATTTAGGGTAAGTTTTCTTCAAAGTGTTTGAATGTGTAAAGGTGCAGACAGGGGTCTGGTAGGATTTTCAAAAGTGCATTGGAGCCCAAAAGTCACTGTGATCAATAGGCCACAGCAGTTTCAAAATCCAGTCAGGATCCTTTCTACATTTTACCTCCCCCTGACAGTCCATTTCCAGTCTGTCACTCAGGAAACCTGGGCTCCAAACCAGCCCACCTGGGGAGCTAGTACAAAATTAAGCAGGGTACTAATGGAACCTGCTGTGGAATAATGAAAACTTTCAAAGAAAACTTTCCCTTTCTACAAAATAGATAAAATGATGTTACACCAGGAAATGTCTAACTGCCTCAATTCTGGAGCCAGCTTGGGAAGATGGCAGAGTGCAGGCTATAGCAGTTAATGTGAGGAAGGACAGTATGGCATGCCTGAAAGAAGACCGCTCTTGCAGCAGAGACAGAGAGCATTCCAGAGCTAAGTGCGTGAGTGCATAAGAAGTGCTGTATTGGGTCAGACCCATTATTTCATCTAACTCAGAGTCCTGTTTCTGACAGTGGCACAGGGGGAAGCCATAGGGAGAACTTTGAACTGGATAGATCTAGAGTAATCTATTCCCTATTCCATACTCTCCCTGGCAGTCACCATTATTTGTTTAGAGAGACCAAAAGAAACATCTCTAACAGAGCTGTTAATGGCCACTGAACAAAACAATTGTTAATTAATTTCTCTAGTCCCTTCTTGAACCTGGCTATGCTATCTGTTCCATCACCTCTGGTGACAATGAATTCCACATCAGCTATGTGTTGCGTAAGAAAGTACTTCCTCTTTTTAAGATGCAGTGACCAAAACTGCACAGAGTATTCAAGACATGGGTGCACAATGGATTTGTATAATGGCATGATGTTATTCTCCATTTCATTTTTAATTTCCTTCCCAATGATACCTAATGTTTCACTGGCTTTTTTAGTTGCTATTGCACATTGAGCTAACATTTTTAGTGAGCTATCTACGATGACTCCAGGGTCTCTTTCCTGGCAGCAGCTGAATCTCTGAATCAGATTCACCTGAATTGATTTGGGACAGTGATTCAAATCTATTGCTGATTCCTGCCTGAACCCCTCCACTGTCTACTGGCATGAGGATGTTGGGCTCAGTTCAGTAGAAGGCATAATTTCAAAAGGCCTGAACTCCTGCACATGCTAGTAACTGGCAGCCATGGTTGGCCTTTCTGCCAAATGGAGGAGAGTGCTTTCCGGAGGCAGCTCTTGGAAACCAGGGAGCAAACAGCATGATGACAATCCACTACGCAGCGGCACCCAAATATTCATAAAAAGAAGAAAGACCTGGCCCACATGTTCACAGTAAGTCTCTGCACTAGCTGTCAAGAAACATTTGATTCCCTGTGTGAAAACAGCACAGACTGCCCACTGCAATAACTAGGATGAAACGTAGTTAAAGATAACCAACAGGCATTTCAAACACATCTACATGAAATTTCCTACTTCAGCTCTGACTCTGCGCCCAGTGTCTTCTACAGACTTGGCCCCATTTGCTTTAAGACCATTACTAACTGCCCCTGAAATAAAAGAAGAGCCTGGTTACATGAGTTTATGATCACATCACCATTGAGGACAGGCTTTTCCAAAGCATCTCTGTTACTGAAGATCCAAGTCCAATCTTTAAGTAATTTAGGGGCAGATTTTACCTCCCCCTGGAGGTAAAATTTCCAGACTTGCTTCCAAGCTGTGACCTTAGAAAGCTGGGCTCCAACCAGCCCACTTGGGGAGCTGCTACAAAACCCGGCAGGATTCCAATAGAACCTACTTGTGGCTTGATGACAGTTCAAATATGTTTCAGAGAAACCTTTCACTTTCAACAAACTGGACAAAAATCATATTGCATCAGGAAATGTCTAACTGCCTCAAGTCTGGAGCCAGCCTGAGCAGACGGCAGAGTGCAGATCACGGCAGTTAGTGCGAGGGAGGGCAGAGTGGCTTGCCTGAGCGAGGACCACTCTTGCACTTTGGACAAGTGCTCCAGTCTAGAGGAAGCCGAGATGAAAAACACAAAAGATAAGAGGAATAGGTCAGGGATTTTCACCGATGTCCACATCTTTCCTGAATGTCCCTGTGAGACATGGTTGGTCTTGTCAATGTTGCAGGCTGACTTAGACCTATGGCTACCGCCAAACTTTGTCAACCGCACTATGATCAGTTGTTAAGTGGGTATAAAACCACAGTTTGGATTTGTTAGCACCTGCCTTGCGAATCTTAGGTTGAGTATTGGGCTTAACTTGGTTAGAGGCTAAACTTCAGCCACTGGCATCTGCTTTATAAGTTATGTACCAGTGAAAGGTTTATCTAAAGCTGTTGCCTGACTTCTGGCCAAGTGCTGAGAGCACCTGTGGGAGGTAACTCTTTGAACTCAGGCAGAAAACATCATAATACCGATCTAGTACATAGAAGCACATGTAATATTCATAAAAAGAACACAACCTTCTCCACAGTCTGTACTAACAATAAGGAAAATCCCGTTTTGATTCCTAGGTGAGAATGCCACAGACTGCCCATTAATACAATCTTAATAAAAAGCTATATTGTAAAAACCAACATGTTTATCCCCCACCCCACCTCCCCTCCACATACATACCTCCAAAATACAATTTATAGCTAAGCTTTAACACTCTCCCATGACTTCCCTAGACTCTACTTAAGGGGCCTGAGACCCACACCAGCTGTCTCTAAAATGTTTAAACCCTCCTGTGGTATTGGGAGGAGTTTTGAAGGCATCTAAGGCAAAGCCTCCACAGCCTCTGGAGTGAGCGCAGCACTGCCATCAAGAGATGAGCCCCACACAGCGGCACCTGATTCTTGAATACCCAAGCAAGGGAGGCAGTATAGATACATCAGTCATGCACCTCAGTAGCCTTGGGCATGTGCCTCATGATTTGCTGTATCTGGCGAGCCTGACCACAGTCTAGTTTGCACCCAAGCCATCCACTCTGCACCCAAGTTTGCATGCTTGGGCAAGGCATGGCAAGCTGAGCTTGCTCCAGAAGCAGTATAGACATGGCCTAAGTGATATAAAAACCAAGGCGCATATTAAAGAAGAGCTTGTGATTTAAGACCAGATTTTTAAAGACATTTCAATGCCTGGTGGACATTTCAAAAGTGTATGTGTACCTCATTCCCTTTGAAACATCCCACCCAGTTATTGGAGTCTCAGAGGAATATTATGTCTTTTCAGCTGAGGCTAACCCGAACCCATACCCTTCTTCTTGTCAAGGCTGAGGGCTTTCCTGGGACAGACCCTGAATAGGATGGAGTGCCTGTGTATCATTGAAATAACACAGATGACCAAACCACTGAATAGGCCATTTCTGTTGTTTCTAAATGAGAAAAGATGTGATTGCAGTGGCCACTTTCCCAGCATTTGCTTTATGAAACTTGAATTTCTATGTAGTTTGTTTCCCAGCCATGGACTTTTGACTTCACAATTTTGGAATGAAGCTCCTGACAAACCTACATTAACATCTCTACATTCAGACTGAAGTCCTCTTCTGACCTAAGAGGAACCAGAACAAGGAGGATTTATTGTTCTGAAAACGGTTTCAAGCTTTTGCAAGGTTCTCCATGCTCCAGTGGAGATACTCTGCAGAATGATTTCAGTGGAGAAGTGTGGAATACAGAGGGAAGGCAGAGTTCAGAGGTGGAGCCTAATATTGTAATTTCTATTACCTGGAAAAAGCTCTCAGCTCTGAAGCCCCAGCACAAAGAAGAGAGTGTTGAGAAGACAAGAGCAGCTGCCATAGCAGGGACCAGCAACATCCATGGGAAAGGGCACACAGCAAATATTCCTTGCTTTGCTTTGCTTTGCAGTAGCAAAATGTCAGGAAGAGAAGACCTGCCCAGGTGAGAAACAAAATCATTCCCTTTAACAGTATGGTAATTACTAGCTTTTTCTCAAGGCCACACTGTAGCCTCTGCGTTGAGGGTTAGACTTGGGGGACACAGAGATCAAATGCATGTCAAAGTTCACTTTATTCTCATGAAGAAAGGGGCCCTAAAAGTGTATTGCTGTGACCTGAAAAGAGAATCAGATGTGGGGATTGATTGCATTGCGGCATGGGAGGTGGAAAAGAGAAGCAATTCAAAGAAGCATGAGAACTGAAATAGGAGAAGGGGAGAAGGCCAACAAGTCAATGGAACATCTGCTGAGAAAAAGCCTAGAGATTGTCCTCTGTAGCCCCCCCCCATAGCAGTCACAGAGGCATTGGGGTTTTAAACAATGTGCTGGCTGAAGTAGGTGAAGAACCATGAGAAAAGAAGACATATGTTGCCAGAGTGCTCCTGGGCACATGGAAACAGGACCTTGCACCTTCATCATCCACATAAGTTCATCAAAGAAATGCTTATTTCCTGTCCCCCTTGTGTTTCTCTGGATGGACACAAGCAGGAAAGACTCCACATTATGGTTAACTACTAGGTTTAAAATTCCATTAATATATTTAAGTACTACTGCACAGTCCGGAAGAGTAATTTACATTAGGCAAATGTAAGTGACATTTTAAATCCCTTAAATTCAATTCATAAATTGCATTAAATTAAATTCAAATCATAACTCTGAAAGCTCTTCAAACTTTAGTCTTCCAAGCAGCAGATGTGTGGACTCAGACAGCAGCAGGGATCGAGACAACAAAGCACAGGACACAAAGGCCACAACCAGAAGGAGGAATGCAGGAGAGAATCTTTCCACCCCGATTCTGCTTTCTCCCACGGCCCAAAAAAGTGTCCTGTGCAGGCCTTCCCCATATAAGTCCCATAAGACTGGCACACAGGGTCAGGAGGCTCAGTCCTTCTCCTCTTATCTGCGCCTTGCTGCCAAGTCCAGGGCACACATGCCATTGGATTACATTTGCCTTTCTAGCCAAAAAAAAAAAGAGCTCTGTCTGATGTTGCATGCAGATCCTACTTCCCTCTGGAAATTAACATTTGCCGAATGTGCCAGATCCGGTGGCTCTAATACATGTCATTTCATGTCTCCAGAAGTAAAAATAACAGGAGTCAATGGAACTGAGAAGCTTGATATTATCCATGGTCTCCCTGGAGCTTATGGTATCATGGGTCCCAAAGGTGAACCTGGAGATAAAGGAGAGACAGGTATGTTGCCAGGCACCTGATGGAAATCTGCCTCAGAATCTTATTATGCAAGCAGCAAGTACTTATTGAATAGCCACAGTTATCCTGGTTAAAATCCAGTTTTAGGACGATGTGTGTGGGTACTATTTACAAAGTCTGCAGAGAGCACGGGCCATACTGTTGGCTGGTGTCAATTGGCTAGGTTCCACTACTTCTAAGTTCAGAGCATGTGAGATTGCAGGTATGTTGTAATGTCTACTGAATGGACAGGATGTTGAGGTTTGTTTTCTGCATCTATAGGAGACATTGGACCCCCTGGGCCTCCTGGGGAGATGGGACCACCTGGGGACAAAGGTAAAAGCAAACAGAGACTAGATACGAGATTGAAGAGAAAAGGCTTTTTCAAACATTTTCAAGGATTGGGGTTTGCCAAATGTCTTGATTCCAGTTCTGTCGAAGGCTCCCTGTATCCGGACCTCTTCCTGGTTTTTGCCTTACTGAAAATCCACTACTGATAGCTGAGACAGTGTCTGTTATTCCTAAGTATTTCCCAGAGATCTGGTGGCATATGGGTACACCATAAAATGCTTGCCAAAAGCTCTGGCACTTCATGGGGAGGGGTCACGTGGCAGTTTCTCTTGTCTGACAAGCTAACCAGAACCTTTAAAGGGAGAGATGATCAAAGAGCATCTGATATCAATGTCTACAAGACTGGTCAGCAGTGTTATGAATATCAGCGGTGATTTAAATTTTCCTGAGCAAGAAAGCGTGGGGACCCATAAAGAGCAGCTAATCAAATTAAGGTCATTTTTCACAAATATTTTTCCAAAGCTGCCTTGTCAAAATTCAACTTCCCCAGCCTTATGAGCTCCGTTCTGAGCTCCCATTCAGATTGCTAGGTCCCTGCTCACACTGTCCATTTGTTCCATCAGGAGAAAAGGGTGACCCTGGTGAGCATGGTCCACAAGGTAAGGAGAACTTAAATCATTATTTGTATTGGGAGAATGACATCCCTGCTGTTGCCGTGCTCTTCTTGGGGATGGAGGTTGTTCAGCTAGGCACAGAAGGAGCTTTTCAAAAGAGCTCGGCACCATCTGTGTAGGCAGTGTCCATTGAAGATCTTGCATCAACTCAGCCAGCTACCTGGGGCTCAAGCTCTCTCGGACATCTGCTGCATGATATGTGGAATTCCAGACAGTGCCAGTAAAGCATTTCTGCTTGGCTGACACCCAGTTAGGATTTGTATTTTGAGATTTGGGATTAGCTGGAGTTTTGACAGCATCTGAAGGAATTTGTCCAACACTCAGAATGCAACAGGGTAAAGGAGCTAAACTGGGGTTTTATGCCAAGATGAAGTGTTGGAGGGGGTGGGGGCAGGGCAGAGGGAAGTGAACTCAGATCAGGGTGAGATTACCTACCTTTGAAAGGCTGTCTCACTTGTTTTTTCTTTAGGAGACAAAGGAAGCCCTGGATCAGCTTCAGACATAAGTAAGAATGTCTGCTCTCTTCCTGGACTTTGTTTCATTTTAAAATCTGGACTCCCTGCAGCACACAGATAACTTTTGCCTGATATTTACCTGCACGTAGTGTTGAACTCCATCATGTCCCACTAGCTGACCCCTTATAGCTGATACTTAAGAGATGGGCAGGAATCACCACATTTGGATCTGGATTACAATCCAGACCTGATCCCCCTGAAAGTCTGTTAAATCCATTGGTCTGGAAATATCTGTCATTATTATGGAATTTGTCCCCACGGTCATCTACATGACTAGGACAAAGTGGGGAAGGGAGAAACCAACAACATAAGCCTACCAGCAGACAGCAGCACAGCTGCCTTTATCAGGGGCTGGAAGGTTTGGTAGACATGTGCTCTGCATAATGTCCCTATAGGGCTGAAGTGGTATGTGAGGGCAAAAGTTGTATGGCCTAGTGTTCTTTGCATTTACTGCCTAATAATATGTTGAAGTCTACAGAAATATTGAAAAAGAAGTATGGATTTCACACCCTAAGGTGCCTGGAATACCTACCAGCTAAACTAGTTTTTGATAAAGCCAACTGGATGAATTCTTAACGTGAATAGCTGTTTTATTGCTCATTGCTCATAGTGAAGAGATGAGTTTAGCTGGGGAAGAAGTTAAGAACTCTGATGGGGGCTTTCTGACAGTGATTTAGACCATGCACTCAAAAGTAGGCAGCTTTGGGAGCTGTGATGCATGAGCATTATACATGCAATGTATAGCCACAATCAACAGTGTTCAGGAAGCTCTTTTCCAGCATTCTCAGCTTTCTCTATGGGTTACAGGCCATTCATAGATTCATAGATGTTAGGGTTGGAAGGGACCTCAATAGATCATCGAGTCCGACTCCCTGCATAGGCAGGAAAGAGTGCTGGGTTCAGATGACCCCAGCCAGATGCCCATCCAACCTCTTCTTGAAGACCCCCAGGGTAGGGGAGAGCACCACCTCCCTTGGGAGCCCATTCCAGATTTTGGCCACTCTAACTGTGAAGAAGTTCTTCCTAATGTCCAGTCTATATCTGCTCTCTGCTAGCTTATGGCCATTATTTCTTGTAACCCCCAGGGACGCCTTGGTGAGCAGAGCCTCAACAATTCCCTTCTGCGCCCCCATGATGAATTTATAGGCAGCCACAAGGTCGCCTCTCAACCTTCTCTTGCAGGGGCTGAAGAGGCCCAGGTGCCTTAGTCTCTCCTCGTAGGGCTTGGCCTGCAAGCCCTAAACTATATGAGTGACCCTATTCTGGACCCTCTCCAAGTTATCCACATCCCTCTTGAAGTGTGGCGCCCAAAACTGGATGCAGTACTCCAACTGCGGTCCGACCAGCGCCCGATAGAGGGGAAGTATCACCTCCTTGGTTCTGTTTGTCATGCATCTGCTGATGCATGATAAAGTGCAGTTAGCTTTGCTGTTGACTTTGTCACATGGACGACTCATGTTCATCTTGGAGTCCACTAGGACTCTGAGATCCCGTTCCGTTTCCGTGCTGCTGAGCAGATCATTTCCTAGGCAGTAGGAGGTGAAATACACACAGCTTAGAGCAAAGCAAAACTCAGGGTCTTGGTCCATCTTAAGCTTGTATCCTGTTCACATAATCATATATTTTTTACTGCTCTGTAATTTATGATACATACCTGCCACATGCCTTGAGCAGCTGAGGGGAAAACAGTATTCTCTTGGCTGGCTTGAATCATCCTGAGTTGCATTTTTTTTCCTATACAGGACAGGAAGATTTGAACCAGATATGGTGTAAAGGTGAGTGTTATAATAATGAGACATCACAAGTGGTTGCAGAAGTTGTCACCTCCTCCCATTCAGGGGACATGGAATTTATCTCACAGTGTAGAGAGAACAAATGCATGCAGTTTTAATACAGCATGCATTTTGAGACTGAGGAAGACAAGGTGAAAAGGATGTCAAGTGCCCTGGGATTTAAACTGCAAGAAAAAAGCTTTTTAAACATCTTGCTTCTTAAAAATTTTCAGAATCACTTTTCTTTCAGTGGCCCTTCTTCAGAATGTATTAATTAAACTGAATTTCCCTCTTCTTCAGGAGCAAAGAATTGCAAGCAACTGTTAATTAGAGGGGTATTGCTGAGTGGCTGGTATACCATCTATCCTAAGGACTGTAAGCCCATGGTCGTGTTTTGTGACATGGACACAGATGGAGGTGGCTGGATTGTGAGTGAAAACAATGCAAAGACTGTCCAGTCATGATACTATCAAAAGTCATGTATTTCACTGGGTGTGGGCTTGCTCCAAAGCTTTGTTGCACCGGGATGTGCCTAGAAGGGACAATACAGCATCGTCAGGTATTTGTAATAACTCTGGTGACGATGCGAGTTCACTAGAATCTGAACATCCAAAAAATGCTACTGAGTCTCTTAAAGTGCTATTCCCCTCCTGTGCAATTTGGTAAGCGTTTCAGATAGAAGTGAGGCTGGGGATCTGAAAGTAACAAGTTTGATTCTTTTTCTTTAGCATTTTGGGGAAGAAGAGGTCAATAAGCTGAGGGAGGAATGGGTTACTCATTGTCTAGGACAGGTGAGGTCTTGTAGGCCCTCAGAGTTGTTCAGTGGATGGAAATAATGTTTTGCAAAGGATTTAGAGCATTCACATTTGACTGCTGTGAATCACAATTCAAAATACCAACATTTTCAAAAGGTTTTAGGTTGATCGAAGTGTTCTAATCCAGTGTTGTTGTTGCTTTTTAGTATGTCCTAATACAGCACAAAATACAATTTGCAAGGAATATCCTTGTTGAAAAGAAAAGTTTTGGACATTTCAAAATGGGATATTCCAGCATTCTCAAAAACTTTTCCTTCTTTTGTTTCAAAAGGAAATGTCAGTGAAGTCCACATGACTTTATGAAGCTTTTTCATTTCTACAGAAGTGCCCTTTTAAACTCTTCAGAATTCAGGAGGTTTTCTGACAAACTCTAAATACTATTGTACTTTATTAACATATTATAAGAACATAAGAACTGCCATTTACTGGGTCAGATCATATGTCCATCTTACCCAGTCTCGTGTGTCACAGTGGCACAGAGTGGGTGCTGAAAGTGAGAGTAAATTGGATATGACCAGGGTATTCCCCAGTCTCGCTGTGACCTACGAATACAGTAACAGGATAGGGGACCAGCTGGGCTGTTGTGGGACTCAGGGGACGAGTGTCTCATATGATCACAAAAGCTCACTTGCCCAGATGGAAAAGGGCTTAGGAAGTCTCCTTATTCTTTTCCTCTACAGCTGCTGCCTCATGTCACACATCCTTTTCCTACATACAAGATGTACCCTAGCCTTCCAGTATAGGGAAATTCACATTGGGTCTGTGTACTGCATTAAGCTTCTACTGGTAGCTTCTGTGCAATACTTGGGTGATGTTCTGTGGCCAATGAATACTGGAGGCCAGACTATAGTAATACCATTATCTTTTGGTCTCTTCCACCTCTTCAGGTCTTCAACCAAAAGTAAAAATAAAGAAGAAAATCTATACAAGTCTGAACTCATATGTTCATGAGGAAGAGAAGATCTGGATAAGTTTAACAGCAATTTGATTGTTGATGCTGTACAAGACTGATATTACCCTTGTTTTTTTCAAAATAATAACTAATGTTATTCCCCTTCCTTTCCTTGCAGGTCTTCCAGAGACGGATGGACGGTTCAGTAAACTTTTATCGTAATTGGAAAGAATATAAGAAAGGTTTTGGCAGCAGACTGACTGAATTCTGGTTGGGGAATGACAATATTAACATCCTGACGACTTCAGGTAAACGAATATCCAAAAACAGCATTTTGTTTTCCCACCAAATTCTACCTGCATCCTCATGTGAAGAGAGTGCAGAACAGAATTTTAAATAGGCTCCACAAGAAGAAAATGAGACAGGAGGTGCGGATGTGTTTTAAACTTTGCTGTGTTGTCTGTAGAAAGAGACTGATCTCAGCTAGTAGCTACCATCCCATGTTTGCTTAAGTAGACTATTAATTCTATGAAATGACTTATCAACTCCCAGTATGTAGTATAGGCCTTTCTGATCTCATAGCCACATCTATCTCACTCCCTTTGGCAGGCCCATTGCCAATCTACCGCTCAGCTCCCACACAGATCCAGGTACCACAACTCCACTGCCACATTTGGGACCCAACTGTAGCAACTCCATGACTTCTTGGGGGGGCTACAGCCAGCCAGTGGAGAATCATTGCTGCAGGCCACAGCACAGTGAAGGTGGACAACTGAGAACAAGGATGTTGCTCAGAAACACACCTTTCATAAAAATGAATTGGAGCAATTCACACGATAGCCGTATTGGCTTCAGTCAAAGCCTAGACTGACAGGCTAGAGTGGTGAAGCAAACTGCATATGATCTGCTTCTCAGAAGTACACACAGGACACATCTACATGAGACGCTACTGTGCAGTGGTTTCATAGTTTCATAGTTTCTAGGGTCGGAAGGGACCTGAGCAGATCATCAAGTCCAACCCCCTGCCATGGCAGGAAAGAGTACTGGGGTCAAATGACCCTGGCTAGGTGATTATCTTACTGCACATTTTATACATGGTTACTG